TGTGGGACATCATCCGTAATATTCACCAGGTCGCGGCCGATGTTGCGTGCACTTGGACTTTCATATGATTAGGAAAAAAAACAGAAAAAGTTGTCTCTTAGTTGGGAATGTCGGGGGTACGGGACGTGCCAACCACCCTTCGAAGTATTTGAGGAGGGCCAATTTTCTTGTGAGATACTTTTTTGTGAATGATCATTCTTCTTATGCTTACTCGACTCCAATAACGCTAGAAACATTCGATAATATTGCTTCCGTAGAGACTGAACTACTAAGAAACAATTTCAATTTCGTATTCCGGATTGTAGGGTTTAAAAAAGGACCTCCCATGGAAAAACTGCTTCCTTTGCATATGAATTCATTTTGAAATTACACATTGCTCAATGGTTGAACTAAAATTAACAGAAACAAGTAAACATTGAAGAGTAGGAATCATAATGATAAGGGAAACAAAAAGTTTCCAAACTTTTGACGCGCCATTACTTGAAAAAATCTTATTTCTCAAATATGATTATAGTTTTTGGAAATTGTTCTTCCCGTCGTATTCTGAACTTGATTTTGTATGGAATATCTAAATTTGGGACAATTTCGTTGTGTATCGGCCGCGCTAGATCAAAAATAAAAAAGTTTCCAAACTTTTGACCGCTACTGTATATGTGGTGATTGTTGAAAAATTTTGTTATACCTTTCCCATCCTACACATTCTCTCATGATATGTTGTTCGAACATGCTGCTATCAATTCGCACTGATTGGAGAGTGCTCACGCCTTCTCCGCTTTGCGAAGTGCAACAGCCAACCCCCAACAAAGCGCTATGCGCAGGCGTTCTCGACGATTTTTGAAAGTTTCAGACTTTCTTCAAGCAGCGTTTAAACTTGATATTTTTCAGAACTGTGGGGTGTTTTTACTTTAGAGGTTTTCGTTAGGTTTCAGCAAGTCCTCAGGGCACCGATCGCAAGTGGTCCAGAAGCAATGCGCCGAGCTCCCTCACTTTATCGTTTTCGACGAATGACTCTCCAGTTCACCGGATTGGACTGACATGATTCCAAGTAAGGCTGCCTTAAGAGAAAAGTCTGCTCTATCGAATTACCGAAATTTGGAACCTCTCATAACGGCGCTTTTGGAATCCTGGGACAAAATTGATGAAAAATACCTGCGTGCCACATGCCATGCGTATGCCAAATGTCTGGAGAACTGTGTAAAGGCTAGAAGGCGATCATCTTTGAATGTTGATATGTTAGGAATTGTTACCTTTTCTATAATAAGATTCGTGGCTAGAATTAACTTTGAAAATTGGTCTCGAAATGTCAACAAAATATTGGTATATATAACTATTGGTATCATATCAAGCCCACAACTCAGCATTTTTGTGATAACTTCGTATTGTGTACCTATACGAATGTTACATAAGACCACAGATATATTAGGTGTTTCAGAAAGTTCTGTCGTTTTCTGACATTCCACTTTTGGATGCTTTATTTCCCTTGAAATCTAGGAAAGCTGCAATTGATGTTGATGTCATTTTGAAGAA